TAGTTACCTGTGCCCCTGGCCTGGCATACAATGTAGGTCTCGTAGTTACCTGTGCCCTGGCCTGGCATACAATGTAGGTCTCATAGTTACCTGGGCCCCTGGCCTGGCATACAATGTAGGTCTCGTAGTTACCTGTGCCCCTGGCCTGGCATACAATGTAGGTCTCGTAGTTACCTGTGCCCCTGGCCTAGCATACAATGTAGGTCTCATAGTTACCTGTGCCCCTGGCCTGGCATAAAGTGTAGGTCTCATAGTTACCTGGGCCCCTGGCCTGGCATACAATGTAGGTCTCATAGTCACCTGTGCCCTGGCCTGGCATACAATGTAGGTCTCATAGTCACCTGTGCCCCTGGCCTGGCATACAATGTAGGTCTCATAGTCACCTGTGCCCCTGGCCTGGCATACAATGTAGGTCTCGTAGTCACCTGTGCCCCTGGCCTGGTATACAATGTAGGTCTCATAGTCACCTGTGCCCCTGGCCTGGCATACAATGTAGGTCTCGTAGTCACCTGTGCCCCTGGCCTGGTATACAATGTAGGTCTCATAGTCACCTGTGCCCCTGGCCTGGTATACAATGTAGGTCTCATAGTCACCTGTGCCCCTGGCCTGGTATACAATGTAGGTCTCATAGTCACCTGTGCCCCTGGCCTGGCATACAATGTAGGTCTCGTAGTCACCTGTGCCCCTGGCCTGGCATACAATATAGGTCTCGTAGTTACCTGTGCCCCTGGCCTGGCATACAATGTAGGTCTCGTAGTTACCTGTGCCCCTGGCCTGGTATAAAATATAAAATCTGTGATCACTCACCAACTTTGTCTGGCCCAGTTTCAGTCGACTGCGCTGGCAGTTTTGAATTCCACTCTTCTGAATGAGCTGGGTTATCATAAATCAAACTTGGTCTTTTGCTGCTGTCACAAAAAACACATTGAGATTGTGTTAGACATCCATGAGATTGTGTTAGACATCCATGAGATTGTGTTAGATATCATGAGATTGTGTTAGACATCCATGAGATTGTGTTAGATATCATGAGATTGTGTTAGACATCCTGAGATTGTGTTAAGTATCATGAGAATGTGTTAGACATCCATGAGATTGTGTTAGACATCCATGAGATTGTGTTAGATATCATGAGATTGTGTTAGACATCCTGAGATTGTGTTAAGTATCATGAGAATGTGTTAGACATCCATGAGATTGTGTTAGATATAATGAGATTGTGTTAGACATCCATGAGATTGTGTTAGGCATCCATGAGATTGTGTTAGACATCCATGAGAAATACATTCACAAGTATTAATTAGCATTCCTAGGAATACAGGAAGAAAGACCAAATAAGAGGACACGGTAAGTAGTAGGAACAATAAAACTCATCATAAAAACAGTGGGATTTTAAACTTCATTGGCATTCAAAACCGTTATTAACGAGCCCCATTCATCTCTCTGACTGACTTATCTTTCCAGCTAATGACACAAAGTGTTTGTTGGTCTGCCTGTATATTATCTTTGCAGCATCTTTGTAGAGTGCCAAGAAGTTAGGACTCCAAGTGCTCCCACTGATACGTGCTTAGGGGAAGTATTCGTCCCCACAAAATTCAATACATCAGCTTGAATGCTAAGGTCAGTGTGATTTGAACAACCAAACAGATCTTAATCAAACAACAAAGTCTAGGGAACAGTAAGGGGGTGATTTTCGCAGTAACCGGTGCCAAGGTCCCTAAGGAACAAATATGAAACTCTGAATACCACTGTACAAGGGTAACAGCTACAATCCGTTTCTAGAAAATGCCTAATTCTTCAAACTGAACACCAGTGAGTGAAGTGTACCAAAATGGTGTATTACCGGTTCACACCAGACTTTACGAGTGAACATGAATAAAGGCACAGAAACTCACCAAAATGCAATATAAAGCTAATCACTCCTAACGTCCTCATACTCACACTCAGTAAAGATTAGACTCCATATTTAATTACAGCTAATCTTACATCAAGACACCTCTATCGGTCATCGCCTCGACCTTGGAAAACAATGACAGTTTTTCACTAATTCCAATATGCAGCCAAAAATACACCTCAAAAAAACTTTTTATTAATTTAATAACTGTCCATGATCCACACCTGTATATCAATAAAGGATTTATATAGCTTTCAAGAGTTCTTTTTCTCGTTTCAATTAACAAAGAAAGATTGCATAAAATATTCTTCATTTGGTAAAATGCTACCTTTGCTTGAGCTATCCGACATTTAACTTCCTTAATGGGTCTTCCATGTAATGTTATAAGGGTAGCCAAGTACTTAAACATATCAACTTGCCTGAGGTTTGTCCCCTTTACTTTGATGTTGCATTTTGCAGGGTCAATTTTCTTTGTAATAACCATTACTTCTGTTTTTCTGCTGTTTAAACTAAGACCCTTGTTTTCACTTTCCATTACAATTATATCAATCATTTCTTACAGTTGTGACTGACTGACTTTCTACTCCACCAGGACATCACACAAGCGATAAACACCCGATGACACAAAGTGCCACCATGCAGATGAGGATTGCCGTGGAGAGGTCCCAGAAACCGCGTTCAGACAATTTGCCATATTTATGGCCTGCCTATATTGCGGCCCCTGGCAAAAGCCAGGCTGGGGCTTCAAATAACACAAAAATTCGTCCTAAAAAGAACGAAGCTTTAATATATTTCTTACAGTTGTGTTTCACTCTCAGTGATCAAAACTATCGCAGGTACAAAACTTACTGCACACAAAAATTTTTTTGTTATCTTTAGCTTTGTTAGTAGACAACAGCAATGAATAATTAAATGAACAATTTAACCCTGTCTCATTATCAGTATTGGAACTCTCTGCTGCTGAAGATGAGGATGGAGCATGCATGGGAATGCCCTGAGTGCTGTGATGTCAATTCTGGACTTAACTCAACTTTAATCCTGTCACCTGAAGGGGCCCAAACCTTGCACTTCTGCTTAGTGTTATTTCCCCTGACAGCTGTGTTCCTGATACAGCTGCTTGTTTACAAGAAGCACAGTTAACAGAACTGATTCCCTTTTTCACCCCCAGACCTGTTTAACAGGTCCAGGAATTATTACATTTATTTAAAATATTATTTAGAGACGTTTACTTGTGAAACAATGGCTTTATTTATGTAAATTTTGGCATATATTTTCTCTGTTTATCTAGGGCAGTGTTCTTCAACCGGTGGGTCACGGAAGACTCCAGGTGGGTCGTGAAAAATGGCTGTATGTCTTGTAACAGGATAGGGTAGGTAGTTTTTCCCTCTTGGTTTCCGGTCAAAATGGACGGTAGGCAGGGGCACGGTTCGAAGCAGAGGCAAATTTTTTACTTCTGGCCGATGCATTTTTGCTCCATTTGTAGACTGGATATAGTTTCATTGCCCAGCTTCTGAGTTGAATGCATGGCGTGACACTGTGAGCTGCTGATTTCACTTGAAATGTTTTTTCGACTGTGACCAACGTGGTGGTGTGAATTGTAGATTCAGAAAATGGCGAGATGCCTGTCGTGCAATGTTGGTGGTGCCCGTATGTGATTAAAATTGATCGCATAGGCAGCTGCTGATCTGTTGGTGACTTTTGCTACCATCAATGATGAACTGCATTTCTAATGTCGGACTGTTTGTGTTAGCACTTCGGATGGCTACCGTATGCTTTAATGCAAGTGTATGCTAGATATGCTGAGACAGCAGTCTGTCAATCTTTCCACAAGGGACTGTGATAAACATTCTGTGTGTTTTTCGTTGGCACAGGAGAGGAGCAAAGATGGGGTGACCTGTTTGCTATGAAGCTGAAACTAAGACTACCAGACTACCAGACTACTAGACTACCAGACTACCAGACTACCAGACTAGACTACCAGACTACCAGACTAGACTACCAGACTACCAGACTAGACTACCAGACTACTAGACCACAAGACTACCAGACTACCAGACTACCAGACCAGACCAGTTTTTTCTCTTCCACGATTGCTGTCCATAAGATCTAACACCTCAAGCATGAGAATCAAACCGGTACAAATCCAGGAAATCCTGTTTAATCATGTAAAACAGTAAAATTACGGCACCTGACAGAGGCATAACCTGTAGTCCAGTCTGGGCTTTGAATAAGGACAATAATTCATACAGCAGCTATATGATTCCTGCTAAACAATTATGGCATCGTACATGTCAGTACTGTTTCTGTGTTTTATTAGATGTCAAGTGGCCCGTAAAACAAATTCCTGGTTTTTGTGGGCCGTGAAACAAATTCCTAGTTTTTGTGGGCCGTGAAACAAAATCCTACTTTTTGTGGGCCGTGAAACAAAATCCTAGTTTTTGTGGGCCGTGAAACAAAATCCTAGTTTTTGTGGGCGGCTGGTGTAAAAATGTTGAGGAGTACTGTAAAAAAGTAAAGATCCCTTTCCACGCCCTTTAGGCGTATCGGGCATTTGGGAAGAGCACCCATATTTTTACAGACTATCAGCACTCGTTGGGTAATGTGGTCAGCATTAAGCCGGCTGTCTTTACTTTCCCAGGACAGCCCATCCTGGTACCCATTCCAGGCTGGGTCGACCTGCAACATCCCATACCACGATAAAAATCCATGCAGCCCGCGGTGGGTTTCGATCGCGGTACGTTGGATTACGAGTTGGACTCGCAACGCCTTAGCCACTCTAGGGTTAAAGGGTGACCGGGTCAAGGCTCAAAGGGATGTAATCCAGTTAATTCTCTGCTCTATTTGTTTCTATTCTATCTTTATTCATTTATATGCTATTTATTTCATTGTCTTTGGTCCACAAATCGATTGTATGCTATTTTTTTGTGACATGTGTTAAATGATTGTTTTTGTAAGAAATATTTTTTTCATGAATTTCCTAAATACAGGAGTTAACTGATCTTGGCAATCTTATTTTTTTCTAGATCATCAGGGTGAAAGGGTTAATGCAATGTTTTATAAAACCATATCCATATGAATTAAAATAATCTCCAAGTAAAAGATTTACCTGCTCTTGTCGACAGACATCTTGTTTTCTTGAGAGCCATCTCTACTAGAAACTTCGTCCAAGCGTGACTTCAACGTCTCCTGCTCACCCATGATCTGCTCAACATTTCTGGTGAGGGAACTTAGTTGTTGCTGCCGGGAAAAGACAGAAAAACTGTTATATAATTTGTCTGCCACTCATGCACAAGGTTAGTTGTGTATCCTTTACAGGACGTTTCAGAACCAACCCCATCAGCCCCTGGCTGTTGTGTGGTTTCACTAGGCAAATTTATGTCCAGTAGTTTGCCATTGCTTTCTGGACGGTCAGCTCCCTGATACCACTGTCGAAACCAACGCAAGGCGTATGGCCCGCAGCTGGGATCGAACCCAGTACCCCGGCATTACGAAGCGTTTGCATCGACTTAGCCACAGAGCTGACCACTCATGCACACGTACAGTAAACTGAAGAATTCTGTTCCATGCCTTTATGTGTACGTGTACGAGGTATAGTCAGTCTGTCCACATAACAGGAACTCGTGTGGATATACTGTCTGGGATGTGCAGGAGTGTGAGGAAATGAAAGAGTGGATTTTCTGGCTATAAAAGCGATACCTACAGGAACATTCATTCAAAGGTGACCTTCTGAAGATCTTTTATGAACGACTGCTGATAGAAGACAAGGTTGGATGAAATGACATGTGTAAGAATGTGTGAACGAGGAACTGGGTGTGGATCCGGCAAGGCGGGACGTATGAGAGGAACAGAAAGAAGTGTATATTATCAGTGTGCTATGGGAATGTTAGCATCTACACCTTAAGAGGGCACATTTATGACTGTGCCCGCTGTACCATGATTCTTAAATCTCAAATCTGATTGTTTTATAAAATGCCCTGGCTCCCAGACTGACAGCCTAAAATGGTTACAGGTAAAAAGCTTGGAAGTAAATGTGGCTGGCATGAGGCTGAGATCACCTATCTAGTGACCTAAAAAAAAATACGAGTGTAGCACCGTAGGCCTTGTAGGCCACTGATGTAAAAAGGACACTTTACTTTGGTTCCATGGTGCTTATGGTACCTTGGTGCCAGTTTTCACAGATCATTTGACATGTAGTATATACTGTGTGGGAGTCGCCGTGGCCGAGCGGCTAGACGCTCACCGCGGATCGGAAGGTCGTGGGTTCACTCCCTGGTGGAGCCGGACTTTTTTCAAAAAATGACCTTGGCTCCCAGGTCGACCCAGCCTTGAGTGGGTACCGGGTGCAGTCCCGGGAAAGTGAAGGCTGCCGGCGTGATACTGACCACATCACTCATCTTGTGCCGATTGGTCTATAAAAATATAGGTCTTGCCCTATATGCCTTAAGGCGTGGAAAAGGGTCCTTTACTTTTTTTTACTTTTTTTTTAAAATATATTGTGTGGTTCGATACGCACCAGCTTTGCTACTCAGAATTTTCTTCTACCTATTTTAGGCTTGGTGAAACAGTTCAAGATTCTTTTTAAAAATCATTGTCTTCAAGTCCCCATGTGGGTTCTGTGGCCCCATTTGGGGAAAGGGGGGGGGGGGGTTGAGAACAGACCTATGGTCCCCTAACACGCATGTCATACAATGCAACTAATTAGGAATCTTTCCTCCAAAGTCAAACTGCATCTGCCTGAGAAGCAAAGAACCAATAGCCTGCATACAAATAAAACAGATCTGTGAATAGCATGTGCGTGCAAAACTCAAGTTCCAGAACAAGACCAAAGTCCAGAAGGGGACAAACAACCAGAACTTTCTGCTGTAATGTACAAAGGATGATTACTAAGAAGAAGAGACTGTCTTCAAGGAAATTCAAACACATGACCACTGAATCATGAGGCAAATATTCTAGCTACTGCACCATGGAGGCTCCCTCTACCTCTCATACGTGACAGTAAAACTAAACTGACTCTGAAGGGGACTGAGCTGGAATCACTCTCTCTCCTGATAGGTCAACAAAATGGCAGAAAAAAACTGCACAACAGCAAGAAAGCAGCCGACAGAAACATGGTAAATGACAGAAACATGGTAAATGACAGAAACATGGTAAATAACAGAAACATGGTAAATGACAGAAACATGGTAAATAACAGAAACATGGGTCAATGACGTAAATGTGGTAAATGACAGAAATATGGGTCAATGACAGAAACATGGTAAATGACAGAAACATGGGTCAATGACAGAAACATGGGTCAATGACATAAATGTGGTAAATGACAGAAACATGGGTCAATGACAGAAACATGGTAAATGACAGAAATATGGGTCAATGACAGAAACATGGTAAATGACAGAAACATGGGTCAATGACAGAAACATGGGTCAATTACATAAATGTGGTAAATGACAGAAACATGGGTCAATGACAGAAACATGGTAAATGACAGAAACATGGTAAATGACAGAAACATGGTAAATGACAGAAACATGGTAAATGACAGAAACATGGTAAATGACAGAAACATGGTAAATGACAGAAACATGGTAAATGACAGAAACATGGTAAATGACAGAAACATGGTAAATGACAGAAACATGGTAAATGACAGAAACATGGTAAATGACAGAAACATGGTAAATGACAGAAACATGGTAAATGACAGAAACATGGTAAATGACAGAAACATGGTAAATGACAGAAATATTGGTCAATGACAGAAACATGGTAAATGACAGAAACATGGTAAATGACAGAAACATGATAAATGACAGAAACATGGGTCAATGACAGAAACATGGTAAATGAAAGAAACATGGGTCAATGACAGAAACATGGGTCAATGACAGAAACGTGGTAAATGACAGAATTATAGTAAATGACAGAAACATGGTAAATGACAAAAACAGTGTAAATGGCAGAAGAAGGGTAAATGACAGAAACAGGGTAAATGGCAGAAGAAGGGTAAATGATAGAAACATGGTAAATGACATAAACAGGGAAATTTAAAACTAAACAGACGAGACAGTTCAGCCACAAACGAACCACCTTAATCTCCACAATTGTTTCTGTCATATGGTCCAGCTGTCGTTGCTGCTGTTGCTGCAGCTGTTTGCTGTGACTGCCTTCCGTTTCCTCCTTGTCCTGTATCTTGGCCAGCTCTTGTAGAGCTGCCTGGAAGCCTTGCTTCATCTCCACAACCATGTCCTGCAGCTAAAGAGGGAGGTCAATGGTCAACGTTAAAATCAAGTTCAGACTCAAGAACACAGTTGGTACAGAAATATAATACCTAGTAACTCATTATCTGTTCTCCAAGCACTATCTGTTCTCCAAGCACTATCTGTTCTCCATACACTATCTGTTCTCCAAGCACTATCTGTTGTCCAAGCACTATCTGTTCTCCATACACTATCTGTTCTCCATACACTATCTGTTCTCCAAGCACTATCTGTTCTCCAAGCACTATCTGTTCTCCATACACTATCTGTTCTCCATACACTATCTGTTCTCCATACACTATCTGTTCTCCATACACTATCTGTTCTCCATACACTATCTGTTCTCCAAGCACTATCTGTTGTCCAAGCACTATCTGTTCTCCATACACTATCTGTTCTCCATACACTATCTGTTCTCCAAGCACTATCTGTTCTCCAAGCACTATCTGTTCTCCAAGCACTATCTGTTCTCCAAGCACTATCTGTTCTCCAAGCACTATCTGTTCTCCAAGCACTATCTGTTCTCCAAGCACTATCTGTCCTCCAAACATTATCTGTTCTCCGAGCACTATCTGTTCTGCGTACACTATCTCTTCTCCTAGCACTATCACGCAGAAAACAAGACTAATTTCAGATCTAAAGACCAGCACTGGCTTGTTTTCCGGACACCTACTCAGTATTGTATTCCAGAAAATGAGAGATCGGATAAGCTGGCAGGAGATGGGAGTAATCTTCCACACCTACCACGTAGCTACAAAGAACCCAAATCAGTCCTAAAGCATCCTTCCAGCATTTTGGAATAGAAGGTGGCAAAGCAACAACTGGTTGTTTCTGTAAGAGTTCAGGTGTAAAAAAAAACTATTTTTTCCAGCTCCAAATAGTAAATAACCTGAAGCTAACAAATGAAAGACAATAATAATAAGAAGAAGAAGAAAAAGAAGACGAAGAAGAAGAAGAAGAAGAAGAAGAAGGAAGGAAAGAAGAAGAAGAAGAAGAAGAAGAAGAAGAAGAAGAAGAAGAAGAAGAAGAAGAAGGAATGACGAAAAAGAAGGAAGGAAGAAAAAGAAAAAGAAGAACAGATCTGAACATCAAGGAAGCCTCGTTCTTAGTATCTTGTCTCAGAAACTAAAATATGTTGGTCATATCAAGCACCACGGCTTACTGGGGAGGGGAGATAACAGCCGACGACACAGTACAAGGACGGAGGGGCAGAGCCCAACTAACGCGAAGATGGCACAGGTTATAAGTGACACCTTGGGTTTGAGATAGCTGGCGAGAGACTTAAGTTTCTTTCGGGCAGACCGTGATGAGAGCGACGTTCTGCAAAGGACCTTCTACATAATGATGATGATGACGAAGCGGCTACACCGAGTATAAAGGTACAAACTCGAGGTAGTCGACTTTAGTGCACCGAGTTTTACCGCATACGGCCTGGTCTCTCGCTGCAAAACGGCCACCAAGTACCCTAGTGCCTCCTGATGTTCAAATTGTGTAAAGATTGTAAAAGATCGTATTCTTCACATATTTTATTTGATAAAAACCCACTGACATTAATAATTGTGAACGTATCTGCTATTTTCCGCATCTCTTTTTTAGCACTGTAAACCCCACCGGTGTAGATACAAGGTAGTTGCTACTCTAGATTCTCATCAAAGGAAATGGAGAAAGTTCCATAGGCACCAAACACACAGCTGGTATGAATAAGCAAACCAGAAACCAAGCTTAAGTTTACATGTAAGAAAGCCAGAACTTTCCAGAACACACAGAAAACCTTCTGTCGGACTTACCTTGCCAGACCAGGTATGTGTTATGGCAGAAGTGAACGAGTTGGAAAGGAGAAGCGTTGCCAGAATCACGGCAAACAGGGAGGGGGGGGGGGGGTAAAGAGAAGTACAAGACCAGGAACCAGGCAGTGGGGAAAACAATGGTTCCAAAACTGTTAGGAATGCAACAGGGGTTTGAGTATGTGATTGTCGATGTGTCTGGCAGAAGCAAAAGCAACATTTTTCTTCCTCTGTTCTGTCCTTGATCCCCAAATGGAACGCACACCCTCTATCAACTTACGCCAAGTTACCATATCAAAGGGAACAGTAATTAGTTTTATGAGTGTCATTTTCGCACTCAAGGTTGATGGTAATGATTCTCCGACAATTTTGTTCCTGAAATCCCATTACACATGTTGCTAAGCTGTATCCTGATCCTCCATTTTAATCCTTAAAGAGTTAAAGGGCACTCAACATTTGATTTTTTTTATTCTGCCTTGAAACTCAGTAGGTATGTTATGGTTTACAGCTTGGCTGTGACATCTATACCTTTAGGTCAAACTCGAGTTCAAAAGAATCTTCACTAGTCGCCACTTGCGACTGGTTTTTTTAATGGGTCGATTGTTGCCCCTCTTTCCCTCTACAAAATGGGCTCCGGAAACCAAGCGGGGAATTATCAAGAAAGATTCAGTGATCTTCTTCTTTTTCTTCTTCTTTTTCTTCACCTTCTTAATGATAAAAATAATCATCGTCGGAGCTACGGAGTGCGTACTCTATGCTTGATACCATCTTCAGGTGGTAATGGAGAGAGTGGGAAGAGGAGAAGAAGCGGAAATGGAGAGAGAAGACGGCATAGAAATTGGAGAGAGGGAGCCCGGAGAGACCGGCGAAAAATGGAGCGTCTGGGATTAAAGTATATTAGTGTGGGTGACTGGAGTTGTCGTAGTGCCAGGCAGAGGGGACATGTACTAGAGAGACTGTTTATATTTTCTCCAGGTTATGCCGGTGTGTTGGGAAATGAGCAAGCAGATAGACTGGCGGGCTTTGCACCACTTAGTGGTCAACTGATGTATGACAGGCTGGATATTGTGAGGGCACTTTGGTAACGAGTGAACAGTGCGGAGCCGCAGTTAGATCATTACAGTCTGAGGAGAATGTATATATACTGTGACTGTAGCCCCAGCTGTTTTCTATATATATATATATAAGCGTAAATGGCTGAGCCCCTCCCCGCCTCCCCTTTTATGTTTTCTCTCGTCGGCACGCCAGAGTCTGGCTTTGTTTTATGGAGTTATGGCCAGTCCCCAAGTCACAAACCAAGAAGCTCTAGGCAGAATGATAACCAAGAGGAGATAGAAATGGCTTGGCCATGTTTATGAGAACGAATTATGATATACCTGCCCAAACAGCTGTCACATGGACACCAGAGGGAAAGAGAAAGAAGGGGCGCCAAAAAACAACATGGAGACTAACGATGGACAGTGACCTGAGTGTGGCATCTTTGACATGGAAAACTTAATTGAAGATTGCACAGGACAGGAAAGCATGGAAAGTCCTCTCTGACGCTTCCTGTGCCACTAGGCATACAGAGAACTGATGATGATGATGATGGCCAGCCTACAAAGACACCAGAAAGAGTAAACGTGCGGCAATACCTCGTTAACACAGACTAGCTTAAGACGAACAGCCGGTGAACGTAAACTCATTTTCATCCCTGGATATATGTACTATTCATAATACATCTACCCTGCATGCAAAGACTAGACTTGGCGGATTGTGCGGATGAAACCTCTTATAGGTTCAACGGACAAGAAGGCCTTTACCAGCAGGCTCTGTGGAGAGCTTCGAGCAAGGCATCAACTGAGCCTAGGTCCATTTCTATCGACACTGTCCTTCCATTAGATCAAGATGGACACAGGCGAGAGAGTGAGTTCGGCGAATTGCGCAACTCTTCCCCACTTACATCCAAGTCCTTGCGCGAGTCACTTTCATCCAGCTGCTAATCAGCCATCTTCGTACTCATAATCCTTGATCATTACTACTCTGGAAGAAAGTGTTCTTCATCCCACGTGATGGACGAACAACAAGTCCAAGACATAAATTTTGACACTCATTGGCAAGGCCTCAGCAGCGTTTTGAAGTCTGAAAAAAATGTGGAACTCTAAGTTATAGTTTTAGAACCAAGTTACTTTCAGTTCTAACGTTATTTCGTATTAACATATTCCAGTGAAAATTGGAGAACCCTCAAAGATACGGAACGAAAGGTAAACACGTTCGAAAACGAGCGTCTGATGAAAATGATAGACACAAAATGAGGTGAATTCAAGAAGACTTAAGAAATAAGAGAAATGTCTGGGCAACAAACAGTTATAAGACAGAAAAGATGGCGTTATGTTGGACATAATGAATAAATGAATTAATCTTATTCTTCTTATTATTCGCGTTCACCGGCTGTAAACTCTAGCGGAAAGCTCAGGCTGTTCGTCCACCTCCGGACTTTAGTCTTGTTCCAGAACCTGAGTGCTGCATGCTCATCAGTTTCACAGATCTGACTTACTTGTAAGCAGTCTTGTGGTTCCTTACCTCTCAGGCATATGTAATCCGACTTCGAAGGATGTCCCCAATTAGTCTACTCCTACGACATGCTTGTTGAGGAGGCAGTGGGTCTATTCTTGTTCCCCCCCCCTCCCCCACAATGGGGTCCCGGAACCCACCCGAGGAGAATGAATGAATCTACAAGTCTCTGGGTAGCACAAATGTTTTAACATGAACTCTTGCTTTTTCAATCTCTTGAAATTTGTGTCAACAAATATATATATACACACACACACACACACACACACACATTTTTTTTTTTAAGTATCCAGAAACCAAGATTTGTTAATCCTTTGGCTCGGTACTATGGATTTCGCAACCCATCGGTCTTGATTCCATGAAATATACCGTCAATCTGGGAGAAATGTGGCTTTTCTGCCTACCCCCGGGCGTGAACCCGGACCACAAGGAGTTCATTACCCGGTCGCCGCGCAGTCCGGTTTAGCCAACTGCGCTAGCGACCTGGGCCAACAAATATATAAATATGTAACTGCAGTCAAGATAAATAATTTCAGAACCACTGGTGTTGAAAAAAAAAAGGGGGAGGGGGTCGGGAATAGAAGGGGAGATTACCAAGAAGGGCTTGGGCGTGAATGGGGTTGATAGATAGGGAGATGCAAGCACAGTA